GGGGCCTGGCGGCCCGGGGTAAAAATTCGGGGGGGGGGGTGTTAATCGAGAGGCTCTTTTGCTAGCATTGCCCGTCCTTCTCCCCATTGCGGTGAGCAGACCAGTTTGTGGGGTTAATCCGAGACAGCCGAAACCAGGGGTGTCAAACTCATTTGTCATGAGGGCCCAGAGGATCTGACATAAATGTCACTTTGTCGGGTCGGGTCATGGGTGCCATAAAATGTAATGCCAGGTACCACAGATATTAACTGGTAAGCTCCGAGTTGGTGTAGGCTCGCTGCAAGGCCTCACGGCACGGCTGCCAGCCTCCAGGCGGGGCCTGGACATCTCCCGCTTTTACAGCGGATCTCCAACGGACAGAGAGCAGCTTCCCTGGAGAAAATGGCTGCTTTGAAGGGTGGACTCTGTGGCATTGGGCCATGCTGAGGCCCCTCCCCAAACCCCACCCTCTCCTGGCTCCACCCCCAAAGTCTCCAGGTATTTTCACCTCCAGACCTGGCAACCCTACCTCATGGCCTTATGTTTGACACCCCTGGTCTAAACTTCTGCCCCAGTCTATAGAATGGGATTATTGTTCTAGTCTCCCAGCCCTTTGCTGCAGGGGGGGCTCCATGGCTGTGGTCACTCACACTAAAATAATCCACTTTCAGTGCCCTGTCCAATTTAGGGTTGCCAAGTGGATTTTCGCCGGGAGCGGGGGGCTCCCGGCCGGCGTCTGGTGTGCCGCATGCACATCACCCAGAAGTGACAAGAGGACGCCAGGCATGCTGGGGGCGGGGCCACGGCCATACAAGGGAAACCATAGAGGACTTTGCCTATTCAGACATGTTTACTGGCAAAGTTCTCCAGGATTTATCTATTAAAGGCTGTCTATCCACCTTTAAATCTGATCGTACAAACAAGTAAGGGGTGAGTTCGGCTCTTCGGATTATAGCAGCAAACCAGACTGAAAGCCTTCAGAGACTTTTATTGAGAAAAGAAATCATCTTTATTATGCAAGACAGGAAGAAGTACATGTACTGTGAAAAGAAGTGCTAAAATAATCAAAGTTTCTAATACTGCTTAATCATATTATAGTGAGTAATAACTTTAAAAGCAAACCAGGTTCCAGGTTTTCCTGTCTCACCGCCTTTAGGTATTATCATATATGTCTTAATGATGCACAGACAGAAATCTCACCTAATCTTCTGAGACTTCCATACAGAGAAATCTCATCTGCTTATCACGATACGGTGTTTTTATACAAAAATATCAGTCTTGACCTCCCCTAGACTTATATCGTAATCCTCTGGTTACTATCTAGATATGTGATTGGTTCTGAACTTAGCATGAGATCAACAGAGCAAGTGCAAATGAGCCAATCAGCAGGTGCATATGAATTACATCTGATCAAGCAAGGTAAGGAAGCCAATCTCAACTCTGAACCTCTACTAAAAAGCAATTCATCTAATTTTTCCATAACTGTTTTAATTAATTCTCAAAGAGAGCTGGCATGAAACCCTGGACTTTGGGACTGTCACTTTTACATTTTGTTCCATGAGGGGAGTTTTCTGGGTGGCTTAGAGGGTTGGCGGGGTCTGAAAAACGACAAAATTTCAGAGAGCCCTTCCTATCCTCATCTGGGGGTTGACGTTTAGCTTCCAGATCTTTCAGATACCTCCTGGCTTTTCCCTGACTCTGCTGGACCTCTTCCGGGCCTATTTTTCAGCTGCCATGCCTGACGCAACAGGGTAGTTTAACCTGGGCTAGTATTTCAGGAACTAGAAGCCGGCCGCTTCAGGGGGATATAGGTCTGACAGGAGGGGCCACCCAGAGTTGGAGCGCACTCCAGTGTATAACTGAACTCAATGTGTCCATAATCTAGGTATCCTTTGCATTCATAAGTACCCCCCGCCTTCATTTCACCCAGAAATCTATCCAACAGGTCATCCTCCCAGTGATCACTGTCCCACACCTCCAGCTTATAGGTGTTGTAGTGTGCCAATGTGACAGTCCCAAAGTCCAGGGTTTCATGCCACTGGGGGCTGTTATTACCATCAATGACCCTCGTCCGCTTTGTCCGGCCTTGGAAGAGCACTCTGACGTAGGCGTCGGCAGCACCGAAGGGGTCACCCCAAAGGTTGGCGGCTCTTCGTATGTAGAATTTGAGGCGGGCCTTACCCCACTCCCGGGCACAGCACATGTTGTTGTTCAGGTTGTTGGTGTGGCACATGCATGTGCAGTGGTCTTCCCGACTCCGAAAGCCATTGTACGGGCACTGTCCGTCACAGCTCCTTCTCAGGGCCCTTTCGGTTATATAGTCGCTGATGGCTTGCTTCAGTGCTTTCCTCCTTGGCTCACTTTGTTTTAGCAAAGTGTGTAGCGGTGTCAGAGAGTACGACACCACGTCAGGGTGTCTTTTGGCACTCCTCATCCATTCCAAAGAGTGCTGGCCTCCTGCAAAGAGCACCTTCTCGGCCTCACTTCCTCCCATGACCGCTGTGTGCCACTTAACAAAAGTGCCTCGCAAATTTCCCTTGATGTCGTCTCTCCAGAGCTGATGGCACTTGGAACTGTAGAAATGGTTCTTCCAGAACCATCCAAGAGAGCTGTTCATATTCAAACAGTTCTTAAGGTCAAAAGCAGTAAAGCCATTCAAGACTGCTTCACAGTTCCGCACGGCGAACAGGTGACGCCTTTGCGCACCCAGCTTCACTTGGCTGATGTAGTGGGTGCCGTAGATGTCGATGAGACGCTGGTATTCCATGCGGCGATACTCCTCTGGGAGGCTGCTCACATCGTGGGAGAAGTGAGAGGCCAGCAATGAGGGACTGCTCAAAAGTCTTAGCCTGCCGGGGAGAGGAGAAGATTAGAAACAAACTCGAGTGGCTTACCCACCAGGGAGCCCATAAAAGTAGTCTTATAATAATAAAAACTGTGTGCTATCAAGTCACAGCTGACTCATGGCGACCCGGGGATCGCAGGGTCTTCAAGGCAAGAGACTTCAGAGGTAGTTTGCCGTGGCCTGCGTCTGTGTGCTGACCCTAGACTTCCCCGGTGATCTCCTGTCCTAGTACTAACCGTGGCCAGCCCTGCTTAGCTCCGCGCTCTGACAAGGTCAGGCTACTCAGTCTGCTTAAAAAAAAAACATTTAGAAGCACACGATTTCCTCTGTCAGTATTTACAGCCTAATTAAGGCAGCCCTGCCCTTGAATCTGAACTAGGGCACACCAGCACGGCTGAGTTCTAGACCCTGCATTCACCTTTGGCGTTCTGCTCTGGAAAATGGAAAACGATAATAAGAGGATGTCTTGGAGTGTGTGAAGAGTGTGCTTTCTTCATGAAATTGCGTTCTACTGAGTCAGACCCTCAGTCCATCGAAGTCAGTATTGTCCGCTCAGACTGGCAGCGGCTCTCCAGGGTCTCAGGCAGAGGTCTTTCACATCACCCAGGGGTCGTTTCGTAGAAAAAGAGCTAGGGGAACTCATTAGCATAACTCATTAGCATATGCCACACTCCCTGACATCACCGGAAGTGTGTCATATGGCCACACACCCCGCCCCCAACAGTCCCGGCCGCCGCCGGCGGCCTTGCAGCTCCACTGCCGAGCCCCATGAGGGGCCCGGCGGTGGACCTGCAAGGTCGGCGGGAGTCCAAGGAAGCCCCGCAAAGGCCCTCCCTGGCCCCAGGCAGGCAGGGGTGGGGAGAGGCAGGGAGGAAGCAACTTACCCTCCCTCTTCTCCTGTCTCCTCCTGGCTGAATGAGGGCCGGAAGTAGGGGGCGGGGCTTCGTCATGTTCCCCGCCCCCCGTACCTCACCAGGGGGAACTGCGATCCCCCGCGATCCCCCCCCCCGAAATGACCTCTGACATCACCTGATCCTTTTAACTGGAGATGCCAGTGATTGAATGTGGGACCTTCTGCATGCCAAGCAGATGCTCTACCACTGAGCCACAGCCCAGTCTTTCTTCACACGTTAAGTGGAAGGAGCACAAAACCTGGGCTGTTAAAGGCAGGTCAAGATATGGGAAGGAGTGTAGGTTTGGCGGGTCAATTGGAAAACCTTTTGACAGAGCATACCACTGTATAGAAAAAAGTCTTTTTCTAAAATCCTTCCTGCTTGGGCCAGATGGCTCTAGCTGGTAACACTACCGCTTGATTCCCGTCACCTGTGCAGATGACCTGCCAGGTGGCCAGGCCGCATATCCATATGGAAGACACTTTGACACCTCTGCCAGGATAGAGCGACTTGCCGGCGCCTTCCCAAGCATGGGACGAGCTATGCCCAGTATATTAGCACATCAAAAGCATTCCCTGACATGACACATGGTCAATGGAAGCGGCTGGAGTGGAATGCCCAACTCCTAGCCAATCAAAACATACCTTGCCTGACAACACATGGTAACCAGAGATTGGATACGCCTCCCCACTCTCTCACTATTGGGTAAATGGCCATACCTGGTGGTGACGGAGGGGGGGTATGACAGCAATGATCTATATGGGAAAAGGAGTTCCTCGCTGGAAAACAAAGAGTTCCTCTCTGGGAAACAAAGAGTTATTTTGGATCGACTGTTTGCTGTTAACATGGAGTGAGACTGTTAGGCAGCCAAGCTGGACTAGCTGCCCACAGCACCATGGGGTTCCTCTTCAAGATTCCCTGGTGAGACCTTGGACTATTTGCACACCAGCCTGGCAACTATGAACTACCTCTATCGTATAGCTAGAGCTGAGCAAGCTATAGAGATCTTTTGTTTCTTATCTTTTGGTAGTCTCATGTTATATGCATGCTTGTGCACTGAATAAAGATAATATATAATCAATATTATCTGGACTTGTTTCCTCTGTTGCAACCTGATTTCTAAGACTGAATCTTGTGTCTAAGCTGTTCGCCTAAGGAGGGTACCACTGTGTTTAATTGTTTGCAGCCCTGGTACAGAGCTGGTAAAGTGGGTAAGTCCCATAAAGCAAGAAGGAGTTTGGGATCTCTGCTCCTGAGCTTTGGTGGGGGACTGTTTAAAGAGAGATCCTGGTGGCAGACTACTGGTAAAGCCTAGGGAGTGTACAGACATTCTCCTAGGGTTTGTTTAATTGTTCCTGAATGCTTGGTTTCTCTCACCCTGGACTGGGGTGAGAGAGAGAAACCTTGACAACCACAAAGCTGGTGGGAGGGGGGCCATGGCCCAGTGATAGAGCATCTGTTTGGCATGCAGAAGGTCCTAGGTTCAGTCTCCAGTTTAACCCATTATCTCTAGGAGAGCTGAAGCTGGCTCGCTTCAAATCTATATATCTAATAGTGAAGTGGCCCCATCTGTGCGGATATCTAAATCCGCACTTCGGGGGCACCTGGGGGGGAGGGAGAGGTTTGTGCACGCGTGGGGCAGTCCCCACGTGTGCACAAAAATCCTAAATGTTGAAAAAAATCATCGGGGGATGTTTAAAT